GCTGTACTGACTGGGGACAGCTCTTCCTGATCCAGGAGAGGGGACAATCCATGCTTGTGGGTAAGATGCAAAGCTGCACTTTTAGATGTTGTGGCTGTAGTTTGAGAGGTGTTCAGAGAGCTCAGCTGGGAACAGCAAGAGAACTCAGGCACACCTGGCCGCTTTGATGCACACAGGTATTGACATAAGTTGCTGATACAGTTACTGCATGTGCTGAGTGCCTCAGTGCTGTCCTGCGCCCTCCTGGCAGACTGTGGTGGTCCTGCACAGCTGGAGGATCTCATCCAGCAGTGCTGCTCAAAGCTCACACTAAGCTGGCAGTGCTGAGCTTTGTCTAACGCACATCAACCACAGCTGATGGACTGTTGTTTGCTTGGCTCTGTTCTAGGTAGTTCCTACATGAGTGCCTTGGAGATCGGGGGCCTGGTGGGAAGCATTGCTGCTGGATACCTTTCTGACAGAGCAGTGGCAAAAGTAAGTATGCAGGTGTGCTGGGCAGCAAGCATAGCTTCAGTGTGAGCTGCTTCTGAATTTTGTTTTTGGCTTCTTTGGGGAGTGCTTAAAGATATATTTTTTTCCTCCTGTAATACCTGCATCAGTGCACACAGACCTGCACTTTCCTTATGCACACATTTATGTTCCGGAGATTCAAGATGCCCAGAATGCATAGGCAGAGCTGCTTTGTGCCAGAAAATGCTCAGTTTCACGTCTCCTTCTTCTGCCTTCCCAAGCTCTTCTGGATGCAGCTGTGTCTAAATGACCCTGCTTTGAAATGGGATTCCTAAAAACCAGACCATTCCTGGTTTAACCGCTCTCTTTCCCTTCACACAGAGGTAATTTGGAGGCACACAGCCCATCTCAACAGCATAACAGAGGTGCTAAATGGGTGCAGTCAGGCTGGTGTTGCCTCTGCAGGACACAGCTGCAAGAAATAGGCCTGTTCCCAGTTCTGCTTTGCACTTTCCAAATTTCCATGTTGAAAGAGATGTGATATGGTTGTTGATAATTATTATTTTTTCCAGCCAGAAGACAAATAAAACTCAGCTCACTGGGTTCTTCTTCAAACGAAGCCAGAAGTCTTGCTAAAAGATGTGCTTCTGATGCGCCACTCATGTTTCTGACAGGGCTGTGAGGATGGCATTCATCACTATGAATATAAACTGGAAGGAATCCTTGCAGGCTCTCACCCTTGTTTTTTCCTGGCTGTGTCACAGGTCGGTCTGTCGAACTACGGGAACCCTCGGCACGGGCTGCTCCTTTCCATGATGGCAGGGATGTGTGTCTCCATGTTCCTTTTCCGGGTAACGGTCACAGGCAACTCTCCCAAGGTAATCCATGCTCAAGCAGTTGGGCACAGGTTATGTTCAGGGTGTAGGTGTGGGAGTGGTGCCTCCGTGGCTTGAGGGGAACCATGCAAATGCAGTGGGATGGCAGGGTCAGATGGTGTGTGTTTGAAGGCTGACCAAGTGAAAATGTTCCCATTGGTGGTGGTGGAGGAGAGGTGTAAACCAAGAGAAAAGATAAAAATTCGTTTTGGCGGAGAGTAACTTTAAGCAATTTTTGTCAGTGTAATGTCATTATGTTATGCTATGAGAAGAACTGCCCATGCAGAGAAATGTAGGGCACTTCTGCTGACAGTTGATCAGCAAGGAGTTTGGTACAGCCTTTGGTAAATGCAGCTCTGAAGATTCAGGGTGAAAACTGACCTGAGCCTGTAGTCCTAGATGCAGGATTCTGCCTAGCAATGATGAATGTGTTGATGTTTTGCAATAGGTGTCTGTTCAGACATTCTCAGCATTAAAGATAGCTGGCAGTTTTTTCTAAGCATAGACCTGACTTGAATCTGACACTATGATTGCTAAATAACTGAAATGTATTTTCTCCATCTTACTCTTTTCTTCTTCAGGAAAATCACTTCTGGACTGTAGCCTTCCAACCTCTAGCTGAGCTTACAGGCCTAAAAGAACACGAGGTTTCTGCCTTGCATTTCTTTCTCCCTCTGCCTGTTTCTGCTTTCACTGATCTGCTTTTTTCCAATCCTGCAAGGTTGGTTAGCACTACAGACCTTAGAACCAGGGCATTGAGAAGATTACTGTAAGTTTTGTAACAGAAACCTTTTCTTATAACCATTTGATAACACTGACTGACTGTAAAAAGTCTGAATTCAAAACTCTCAAGTTTCATATAAGAAGTTCTGAGGATATTTGCTCATTGGGTGAAATTTAGTTACTTAAGGGGGTTTGAGTGTGCTCAGAAGGAATGATCCTTCTCCTGCAGGCGTTTTTCTGTGTAACTTTGGCAAGTTCTTTCCTAACTCTGTTTCTATTCCCCACCTGGAAAATACGATGGTACTTACTCCCTCCTGAGCATCTTGAAACAGCGTTTATTGTTCAGAAAGCATGCTGCAGTCTGGAGACTGGACAGTTACTTACCCTCAGTTGTCTTTCCATAAGCGATTAGAAAGAACTACCTGGTTCAGAATTTTTCAGAGTGTATGCTAACACTGAACTGAAAATGTTGAGCTTTTGTTGTTGTTTTGCTTCTGTTGTTTCTGTTTAGTGACAGCGAAGTGATCAGATAGATTTTATCGCTATCTGATCCATTGCTTGCATCTGAACTGAGAATGGCTTTTTAAGTCAGGTGTCCCCGGAATCATTTTTAGAGATGATCTGAGTTGCAGCTCTCTGTCATTTCACAGATCTGTTGCCCATGCCCATCTGTGTTCTGGTTCTTCCTTACAGAATGGGGCATGTCATGTGTACACAGCTTAGGGGCTCACCTGCAGGACAGTGGGAAGCTCACCGTTGCTAACTGGTGTGTTGGAGATGCAGCTGGGTTGTGTGTCTCAGGCTTGAGCTCTTCTGTCTGCAGATTAAGGAATCAGTGTCAGCCAGAAAATGTTACAGCCTCTTCCTCATACAGTGCACCTATGTATCTGCTGACTTGGCAGTGGCAAAACAGAAAGATCTTGTTTGTTTTGACAGCTGTGGATCCTGACTTTGGGAGCTGTGTTTGGGTTTTCCTCGTATGGGCCCATCGCCCTGTTTGGGGTTATAGCCAACGAAAGTGCCCCTGCCAACCTGTGTGGCACCTCCCATGCTATTGTGGCTCTGATGGCCAATGGTGAGTAATGTCCATTTCCCCCTTCCCAGCAACTGACTGCTACTTGTGTTATTGGTGGGGTATGGCATGACCCCTCAGTGCCAAGTTAATGATCGTAGGAAGACATCTAACAGGCAGACATATGAGCTGGAAGTCCCAGACACATTTTCGGGTGTATGTGACAGGTTTTTGTCATGTGCTTTAAGCTCAAACAACACCTAAAACAAAAAGTTAAAAAGCAGTATCAGCAAGTGAAAGTGAGAAGTTCGAGTGTTGCTAGCTTTCTGTTTGTTTTCATTACAGTTGGGGGATTTCTGGCTGGACTGCCCTTCAGTACCATTGCCAAGCACTACAGCTGGGCCACAGCCTTCTGGGTGGCTGAAATCACCTGTGCTGTTAGCACTGTGGCTTTCTTCTTACTGAGGAACATCCGCACCAAGATGGGGCGGATTCCCAAGAAAGCTGACTGAGGATAAACTGCTTGGTGAAAAGGATGCTCCTGCACTGACACGAATGAATGATACTTGTTTTTTATTTAACTGGCCTAAGAGTGAATTTACCTGTTGCTGCAACCTAGATAAAAATCTCAATTTCTCATTCATTTTCACGTGTCTGAAGACACAAGTTTCCTGCTACCAATGGCTTTTTCCCTTGAGATGTGATAATTCAGCTAGTTTACACGTGCAGTGATTTTACTGTACCTCCTTTTTACAGCACTACTGGTAAAGCAAGCAGGTCTCACAGCCTGAGGTACTGAGCTGAAAGTGCTGTAAAATAACTGGCTTCAGGTGCTGTCACATTTCGTTTTGTCCTCGTTGTTGTTCTCAGCCATTAACTGTCATTTTAGCCTCGTTGTTAGGAGCGCTGATTTGCATCTTTGCTGCATTCATTCATCTCTTGCAGCTGCTGTAAATGCAGCTGTCTTAGTTGACTTAGGCCAGAGCTCTCTGCTATCTCTGCCCTTGAACTGTGACAGAACAGTGAATAATGATTATTACAGTACAGCTCCACAACTGATTTGGGAGCGGTGTTGCTTTAGCTTTACCCTGGATTTGTTTTTATAAAGTAGCATTATGTTCTGGACAAGTGGAACACTGATGTAGTGCTGTGATGTGGCTCTCCACAGCCACTTAGAAATAGGCAGGTTTCCAAGAAAACTCTCAGTACTTCAGGGAAAAGCATTTAGAGGAGCTCCTTCTGTTAACTGATTGTGCCCAGTGTGATTCCTGTTTACAATGTTAATGATTTGCAAGGTAGGCAGCTGCTGCCAGCTCAGCTTGCAGTGCACACTCTGCAGATCAACTAGGATAACTGAGCAGCAGGTATTGCAGCAGCAGTTGCCACGGGCACACATCTTCTGCAGCTAGGTTTTATGTAAGCTAGAATTTCTAGCATTGGGTTGCATTTTGTCATTAAAGGATGTATCATCTAGAATGTTTTCAGCCCCAAACTGCATTTCTTACAGCTCTGGTCTATCTCACAGAAAACCTGAGCGGGGCTACTGCTGACTGTGGGCAGCACTGATCACTCTAACCCAACACTCTTGGCAATAACTAGACTCAGGTTTTTGGTCATGATTTTGTTGAATATCCTCACACTTTCCCCAGAGGGATTTATTGCTTTTGGGTCCTGGAAGAGGAGAGTTCAACTCATGAAGAATCACAGGTACTTAACTGAGTAGCTTGGTTGCAAGAGCAGATGGTCAGCCTTAATTAAAATAATGGAAGTAAATGACATTTTGTACTTAATTATATCTTGTACTATCTGTGAAATAAAAATGGAGCAGTGTCTTTAGGGTTCTGGTTGTCTTGAGGAGAATGGTGAAAGCAGAACTGTCCAAAGCCCTTATCCTCGTGAGGTGGTATTGGTGTAAACAGACCTTTCCAACAGAAAACAAGAGGCCATCCACCTCTCTAAGGAATGTTTATTATTTCTATATAGAAACCCTTTGTAAAATTATAAATTAGAGCTATACAGAAACAAATCATATATACAGCTGTGAAAGGAAACAATTGCAGTAGAGCTACGCTGTGTCTTCCACTGTTCACTCACAAGGTCTAGGAGCTGCAAAACCAGAAAAAGCTTCTGTGGCCCAGAAGTAAAGAGCAGTAATAAATCTGTTTAAGGTCAATTTTACATGAGAGGAGCAGAACACGGTATCCTAGGAGATAGGAAGCATGTTTTCAGATTGTGAAGTCTCTGCTGTGGTGAAGAGAGCTCTGGGCCACAGCTGCCAGGGAAGAAAAAGGCCCTGTTCTTCATGGAGAGGAGTCCACGCAACAGGCAATTCATTTTTTATGATCCAGGTCCAAATGGTCCAGCTTTCTCAGCCACCTCCAAAGCAAGCTTCAAGTTCTGATCAAACAATTCACATCTGAAATTGAGAAAATCAGAAGAGGAGGAATAGCTTTAGTTATAGAAAGGCCAAGGCAGTCAGCATCTCTACAACGCCTGGCTGTGCATCCTTCAAGGAGAGATTCTGTAACTTAAGAGACAGCAATCTGACTGCTGTCAACCTTGGGCTGGCTGTCAGCTAAGAAGAAAGCTTCTCATATGGGCTTTAACACTATCTTAGGACTGCAGGGATCATACCAAGGAGAAGCAACTCCCATTTCTTTAGTAGTGCAGCACTGCCATTGTCATATAGAATCAGAAATGTTATGAGTTGGAAGGGACTTCTAAAGGTCACGTGGTCCAACTCCCCTGCATACATGCAGCAGTCACTGTTTTCCCTCTTCTGTCATCTCTGTATCTACTTTGTGGCTTCAGGGCTGCGCCAGCATTTGTTACTGCACAGGCACAAAGCAAAGCAGGGCTGAGGCCGCTTTATTAGCAGTAGGCTAATACCTTACCTGATGGGCATCTCCAGTGAGTAGAAAGGATTCTTCAGAGCAAAGTCAGAGTAAATCTCATAGATCTTGCGGAGCAGGGCATCTATCCCTGCCTGCCTGGGGTCAGCGAGCACCACAAATTTAATCCCTGGAACCACAAAGAGGAGCGTGAGGAGGGCCGAGCCCAGAGCAGCCCTGCAGAGCAGGCCGGGCAGTACCTGTCAGCGTCTGGAAGCAGTGCAGCTTGAAGGTGTCGGTCTCCAGCATCTCGATGCCCGAGCTGCCCACCTCCGGGGAGAGCTGCGAGCCGATAGCAAACAGCCTGCAAGGAAACGGCCCTGAGCCCCCGGCCCCGCCGCCCCCATCCCCCCTGAAGCCCCGCTGCCCGCCGCCCCCGGCTCACGAGTGGAACATGGAGGCCAACATCAGCTTCTCGTTGGAGGAGAGGCGGTGGCGGCCGAAGCGGATGGACACGGGGTAGTTGGCGGGGTTGCTCAGGAACTCCAGCACATCCTTGCCGTCGGCCGTCAGACGCCCGTTGACCTCGGCGCCGTTGATGGCGAGCACGGCGTGGCCGACTGCGGGGACAGCGCGGCGTCAGCGGGGCCCGGCGCGGCCCGGCGCCCCCCCCGCCCGGCGCGCACCGCGGATGCCGTCGCGCTGCCCGAAGGCCACAACGACGCGTTCGTCGCGCGGGCGCAGGACCAGGTCCAGCGGGAAGCTGAACGTCTTCTCGGTGTCGCTGCGCGGCGCGTAGTGATCCAGCTGGTAGATGAGGCCGCCCGCCTTGTTCACCACGTACACGCTGAAGATCGCCATGGCGCCGCCCGCCCGCGGAAGTGACGTCGTGGCGTCTGACGGCGGAAGTGACGTCGTCGCGCCTGGCGGCGGAAGTGACGTTACGGTGCCCGCCCTCCCCCGCGGGGTCTTCCGGCTGCCGCGCGTGCGGAGCTTCCTTTCTCGGCGGACATCTTGGGAGCAGCAGCCGCAGCATGGTGAGCGCGGGGCCGGGTGCGGGCGGCGGGGGGTTGGAGCGAGCAGCGGGGCACCGCCGCCTTCCCTCATCGTCCCGTTCCTTCTCCCGTCTCGCAGCCGCCCAAAGACGATAAGAAGAAGAAGGACGCGGGCAAGTCCGCCAAGAAGGACAAGGATCCGGTCAACAAGTCGGGCGGCAAGGCCAAGAAAAAGGTGGGAGCCCGCGGGGGGAGCGGGGCCGCCGGCCTTATGCACACACACGGCCCGAGCCGGGCTCTGGCTGCGGGGTGCGGGTGCCGTCGGGCTGCGGGAGCCGCTGTACGGGGTGTGAATCGCAGAACGCAGCGTTCGGTCCGAGTAACGCCGCGCCGTGCTCCTATTTGTGGGCCTTGTTTGTTCTGTTTGAGGGGCGAGACGGAGCCAGCTGAGGGCGTGGTGCATAGGACCTGCCGAAAGACCAAAGCTGGTCTTGACAGATTGGTTAAAAGATGGATTAATGGTTGGTTTCTTTCTTTTTGAGTAGAAGTGGTCCAAGGGAAAAGTGAGAGACAAGTTGAACAACCTTGTCCTGTTTGACAAGGCCACCTACGACAAGCTGTGCAAAGAGGTGCCCAACTACAAGCTCATCACACCAGCAGTGGTCTCAGAGAGACTGAAGATTCGAGGCTCTCTGGCCAGGGCTGCTCTGCAGGAACTGCTTGGTAAAGGTAAGCCTGCAGAACTCTGGAAGAACACCAGGCTGCTGGAATTGGGGATTTTCATCACTGTTTTACACCATTTCATGTTGCACCTGAAGTACACAATCTGGCATGTTTTCAAAATCTGCTGCCTTCGTCTATATTTCAAACGCTTTGATGCATTTAGTGGTAATGCTGTGCTAAGAAAATAGTGTTAAAATAGGCTGTAACGCAGCCATACCTGGTCTTGAACAAAAGCCTACACATGTATGTGTGCTCAGTCATTATCCCTCTTAACACTGATTCCATTCTTTCTGTGGAAACAGTCTTTAATCTGTAATGTTAAGCATCGTGAACCTTAGGGTATTTTCTATTAGACATCTTTTGGCTGGCATTAAAATGACAGCACAACATCCCTGGTATCGTGCAGTAGGCGTGCACTCAAACCACCTCTTTTACAGGTTTGATCAAACTGGTTTCTAAGCACCGAGCCCAGGTGATCTACACCAGAAACACAAAAGGTGGAGATGCTCCTGCTGCAGGGGAGGACGCATAGGAAGGTGAGACAGCAGAGTGTTTATATACTGGGTTTTTCCACGTCCAAGACTAGCAAACAGCTGCACACGGTATGTGGTGTGTGACACTATGCTGCTTAGGGTTGGTCACTTCTCCAATCTGTTCAGAGACTGTTACTTGCACTCTGACTTTTTAAGGTGGAATTTCTGGGAACATCAGCCCTCAGGATTAGAAGAATTTGCTGTTTTGGCTGCATTGCCATTTGGATGGGGAAAGCAGCATGATCTTTCCCACCATTGTGGACTGTAGATCATAGATCCTTGCTGCCAAAGCATGCCATGACTGATGCTCTTCTTTAAGGAGAGACTCTCAGTAATTTTCTGTGAACTGCTGGTCTGATTTGGGACTTCTTGCTTTGCAGGTTTTCCAGCAACCTCCTCAGCAATGTCTTATACAGATGCATACAATAAAATGATTGAAATAATTACTTTGCTTCTTTTCCAAAAATGTGTATGTTTCATTATTCGTGCATCACTCAGCGTAGATTCTGGTATAAATCGGGGTTCATCTTGTCAGCATAACAGATTTTGTGTGTTTATAAAGCATTGCAAATGCATCATAAAGTTTCTTTTCTAGTGGGAATGTTTAACATCACTAGCTGCTCTAGTGATGTGAGACGCATTCAGTTTTAGTAAGTGGAAAAGAGAAGCTTGTTTCTTGCATAGGATAGGATATTTTGATTATTTGTTTCAACTGCTTCTAACCAGCCATGGCCCTTCATTTCTTTACAAGGGAACAAGATTGATCAGGGCAGGGTAAAGGGAGATAAAAGATTTGAGTGTTCTTCTGCTTTATTTTGAGGAATAACTAACTGTCCATACAAAAAAAAAAATCTGAGCTTTCCTTGCTCCTGCTGAAGGTTAATTAGTTACCCTTCATGTGAGGCAGAACTGGATTTTTTAACAAGTTTAATTTATTTAAAGAGATACTTTGCTAAAATACAACGTAGGACACTGGCATGACCTGCTGTGTAAGGTGGAATTTCTGTCTATGAAGGCACTGCCTAGGCACTGGGCTATTCCTGCTGGCAGGATCTGTCTTTGTATTGTCTATGACTTCAGAAATTAATGCTTAGATGGTACACATCCTTTAGAGGGAGAGTGAATCTGCTGCAGCATCCCCTTGCCACATAGCTTTCAATAATAATAGTGCTCAACTCATCACTTCCGTACTAATATGACCTTTCAAGAGACGGAATGTATCTAGATGTGTACATACATACACGAGTACTGAAAACCCTGGCCCTAATAGAAGGTACAACTATCTCTAGTCCACCTTTTCAGAGCCTGGTTTGTTCTGTGTTCTTCTGATCACCTTTTTTTCTTCTTTCCTCCTGATTCGGCTCTAAACTGATGCCTGAAAAAGAGCACAGATGTCAGCATTCAACAACCTTTATAAAGAGGTAATGAAAACTGCCTCATCTCATAAAATAGTGCTATGTGTGATAATTTAAAACAGGAGCTCCCCTCAGTTTGTTCAGTTATTTCTGTGAACCAATGCTTCAGCTACTTAGCCATCACAGAAGGGGTTATAGGGCACAGCACTGCAGCTGGGGCCTTCCAGGGGCACAGCAGAGGGGCACAACCCCCTCCCTCTCCTCTCCCTGCTGCCACCCCTCTGTTGCTGCAGCCCAGGGGACTGTCGGCCTTCCGGGCTGCAGGCGCACACTGCTGCCTCATGTCCCCTTCTGTCCAGCAGGACCCCAAGTCCTTCTCCGCAGGGCTGCTCTCAGCGAGTTCTTCTCCAGTCTGGGCTCATGTCTGGCACTGCCCCGACCCAACAGCAGCACCTGGCCTTGTTAAACCTCATCAGGTTCTCATGTGCCCCCTTTCTGAGCCCATCCAGCTCACTCTGGATGATGTCCCTTCCTGCTGCTGTCTCAGTTTCCACTGCACATTTCTTCCACTGCACCACTCAGTTTGTTCTCTGCTCACCCTCAACTCAGCATCAGTCCTGTGCTATTCAGGCTCACCTGGACTGCCACCTCCTGCCATGATTCCAAACCCGGCCAAAGGAAGGAAGCCAGCTGTCCCCTGTCTGGGAGGTATGGTCAAAATTGGCACCAACACGCTCTGCTGGGAGCTTTTTGAGCTTCTGCTTCTCCACTAAAAGGCAATTTGGGGAGAATTTTTCAGTCAAATTCCTTTTGATTCTTAAGTGCAGTACTGGAGCGTATTTAAAGGTAAAGGTATACAAGCTGCTTACTTTGCTTGAGAAATTCCTCATACGAAGGTCCAATTTGTTGTTTGCTTCCATCCTCCTCTTCTTCATCTGTTAGCCAGGGAGGTTTTGCTCCTGGAAGGCACAGAGAAAATGCATTCAATCACTGCAGCAAAATTAATGGCTCAGCCGAGGGAGAGAATATTTCCTCTTCCCCTGCACCAACACCTTGTAAGCAGTAAAGAAAAAGTCAACTTTATGTTCTGTAAATAAGGTTTGTAAAAAAAAAAAGGCCTGTCATGGCCTGCCTTGGTTAAGGCCATGACAGATCACACCTAAAGCCTTTGCAGAGCAGCAGCACAGAGGTTTGTAGCACCGTCACATTTCTCACAATATGAAAGTGTTCTATGTTAGCATATCAATATTGCAGCAAAGAGAGAGAGAACCTTTGGGTATGCTGTAACCATTCCAAAACTACTTTAAGTTACCGCTGTTGCAACCCTTGTGTTTTTCCAGGGGTAGCTGGAAAAGGAGCTGAGAAGCAAACAAGATTACCTGTATGAACGTTTCCTTTCCCTTCTGTTTCCTGTTAAGCAGAAGATAAAACATTAATTAGCAAGTGATGCTTTTAAGTGCCTCTGTGAGCAGGGGGTGGCACTGTGTGTGCTGTACACAAGGAACACCTGAGAAATTCCCTTCCAGTTCTGCTACAGAAAGGGCATCTATTCCCCTGTCCCTAAGGAGAGCTCTCTTAAAGTGCATTTTAAAAACAGTTTGCTTCAATGTAAGTGTGACCCAGTGGTAAATCTCAGCTTGTTGTCTGCTTGACTGCAAAGATGCCTTTTTCAGCATGAGGTTCACTGGGGTGACTGTAACTTGTTTTGTAACACGTAATTTGTAGCTACTTAAATTGAATTCATTAGCAACACTGTGCTCCCACCTGGTGGCCAATGAAGGTCAAAGCCTGGCCTGATTCCATCCAGCTTAAATCTGGTCCTGCCTGCATCACGCTTGGGCCGGGCAGCTCAGCACAACCAGAGGTGTCCCTGGAACACAGGAACCACAAAGCAGGCTGAGAGATGAGTCTGAAACAGCACTGAAGTGGTGTCCAGTGAGTTTTGCAATAAGAAGAAAAGGAGAATTGCTCTTGGGGTATCATAGAGTGGCCTGGGCTGAAAAGGACCACAGTGCTCATCTGGTTCCAACCCCCTGCTGTGTGCAGGTCGCCAACCAGCAGCCCAGGCTGCCCAGAGCCACATCCAGTCTGGCCTTGGATGCCTCCAGGAATGGGGCATCCACAGCCTCCTTGGGCAACCTGTTCCAGTGCCTCACCACCCTCTGGGTGAAAAACTTCCTCCTAATATCCAACCTAAACCTCCCCATCTCAGTTTAAAACCATTCCTGTGTAAATAGTCGTTCCCCCTCCTGTTTACACACTGCCTTAAGGTACTGGAAGGCCATGATGAGTACACAGTGCGTTTATGAGGGTTACTGATCACATACTTCTTTGTGGTGGGGAGAATAATTTGCCTGGGCATTTGTTGCCCGCTGTACTTCAGGTAAAAGTTGGTTAAGGACTTGCATGAACAGAGGGTGCTGAGGGCCGGGACTGGGGTGGGGAAACGCTCTTACCGGGCGGATCCCACAGCGGAGCTGCAGCCGGGAGGTCCAACACAACGCTCTGTCTCTGCTGGAGGCTGAGTTCGATTCAGGAAAAAGCAACGACATTTCTGGTACTCAGCGGTGCCCGCCAACCCCCCCCCCCCCCCCCCCCCCCCCCCCCCCCCCCCCCCCCCC